TCAAGGGGTCAAAGGGCAAGGTCACATTGACCTTGTAGGTAAAAAAGCTTTCCAATCAAAAACTTAAGAACCTTTAGGCCTAGGAACTTCAAACTTGGTATGGTGATTGGTCATGACCGGCAGATGACCGATTGATTTTTGGGTCAAGGGGTCAAAGGTTAAGGTCACATTGACCTTGTAGGTAAAAACGGTTTCCGATCAATTAACTAAAAACGCTTAGGCCTAGGAACTTCAAACTTTGTATGATGATTGGTCGTGACCAGCAGATTACCCCTATTGAGTTTTTGGTCAAGGGGTTAAAGGTCAAGGTCACATTGACCTTGTAAGTAAAAACGGTTTCTGATCAATAACTTAAGAACGCTAAGACCTAGGAACAACTTCAAACTTGGTATGGTGATTTGTCATAACCAGCAGATTACCCCTATTGATTTTTGGATCAATGGGTCAAAGGTCAAGGTCTTATTGACATTGTAAGTAAAAACGGTTTCTGATCAATAACTAAAGAACGCTTCGGCCTAGGAACTTGGCATAACTTGGCATGGTGATTGGTCATGACCAGCAGATGACCCCTATTGATTTTGGGGTCAAAGGTCAAGGTCACATGTTAACTGATTATTCGGAACATCTAAGACAATATTTCTTGCTGTCATAAAATCTAATCCTAATATTGCATCTTCCTCTATGTCAGAAACTATAAAAGAATTTGTTGAACTTTCACCATTCAATTTCAGATCTAAATATACCCTACCTTTAATTTCTAACGGTTTTCCAGAAGCATTTACAATGTTCGTAACAAACGGTTCTAAATTTAGTGGAAACTAACATCTATCTATAAAACTTGAAGAAATCATCGAAAGTGTTGAACAAGTATCAATTAAACAATTAGCTTTGATGTCATTTATTGTAGCTTCAATAAATAACCCTGAACCACACGAATTAGACGAGTTTTCACAATCTTTTTCCAACACATTAATTTTTTGTTTCGATCTGCCACTGAACTTTCGACAATTGAATTTATTATGACCTTCCTGACCACACTCATAACATTTCAAAGACTTTGCATTTGACCCATAAGCAAATGTTCTTGAAGACATTTTATTATTTTGATTTCGCTTTGATGTATCTATGTTTCCTTTATCAAAAGTTTAAATATTATTTTGGCGTCTAAACATTGATAACATATTCTTCATTTCCTCTACTTATTTTGTCAGGCTATCTAACTTGTCATCTTGATTTTTCGGACTATCATATTCGTCAAAATTTAATTTTCTCATAATTTTTTATAACCATGGGTTTCATTGGATTTTCGTTCCGCTCTGTTGAAAGCCTCAAGCCCAACAGCATGTCTTACTGCTTCATTCAAGCTAGTAGGACGAGCTTGTTTAATTCTAAGCCTCATATCTGCGTTGACCAAAGAATCTTTAAACTGTTCTTTCGCTAAAGTTTCTTTCACATCTGATGGTGCTGAAGGGTATGCTAAATTAGTCAAACGTTTTATGTCCTGTCCCATTTCAGATAAAGATTCTTTAGCTTTTTGTCTTCTTTCATGTAGTTGAATTCTATATAATTCAGTTTGATTGGGTGGTGAAAACCTTTCTTGTAATGCTAATACAAGTTCATCATAATTGGGTGATTTGCTTGTCAGATTTCCAAATACACCTTGAGCTTGACCTCTTAATGAAACAGATAAATAAAGTCCCTTTTCTTTGTTTGTCAATTGATTTATTTCTGAACATGCTTCAAAATGCGTTTTATAATCTATCCATGAGCTAGTTCCATCAAACGTAGCTGGCTTCACCATAGCACTTCGTTTTGAATTTGAGTTTTTAGGGTCAGGTTTTATTTCTGTTGAATTTGAAGTATCCATTTGTATGTTGCTGTGTAAGGACTCTGTTTTATTTGCTGGTTGTGATTTTCTCTTTCGAAAAGTAACAAATCGATCTCTCGGATAATTTGAATCAGAGCAACAAGAAGATTCTGTAAACCTTTGTTTTTCAACTAATGGGGTTAAGACACTTTCTATTTTAAAGGGCTTTTTATCTGGGGCCGGTGGTAATAAACGTCGCCTTCTTTCTAAAAGAGGTGTTGCATATTTTCTTGTTAAAAATAAAGGTGTCGACGTTTGTTTGTCTTCATAGTTTGAGTCATATTGATTTTGAAAAGACAACTACATACTGTCAATCTGTTTTTCAAGTATTGATATTTCATTTTGCAATTTCAAAGCTCCATTTTGGTGCTGTAATTCTCTAAGTTTTTCGTGTAACAAAGTAAGCTCTATATCATAACTATAATCTTTACTCTCAGCCATTTTAACGAAATTTATTTTAACGTGTGAGTCTAGATAATGGTGTTTCTATCTATATTATCCCACCGTCGCTGCCACCAATTTTTGTAACGTGTACCAACCGGATGTGCAACGAATATATAATAAATTTTTCTTTGGGCTATCTGCCGTTTGATTAGAAACAAATGATTATGAATTTATCATATACCATAAACAATCAGCTTGAATCAATACTCCAAAATACCCTATTAAATTATCAAAAGTCACAATATAGTAAAAATGTTTACAATATAACACTATAAAATTATTGAAAACTATAGATATCACGCTGCAACCCGATAATTTCCTATAGTCCAGCAACTACCTCTCTATCTATGAAGCGAGGCTTCTATTTAGATAGAAAGATAAGCTACTGGCAGGGATTTACTACAAAGTACCAACTATTTTATCTATACAAACTTATTTGTTATAAGTATACCTCTGGTTTTTTAATATCTATATGTTACCAATCCCCTGATAGCGAAGCTTTCAGGAAATGTGGTGGTCTAATCAATTGAACATGACATAAAATGTAATTTGTAACTTAGAATAATTCCTATTTCTTGACTTAACACGAATAACAAATTAAATAAAATCTTTCAAAGTTGACGGTGTCATATTGATACCATTAAAATATACCTTTTTACTCAATTATTGTACATATTTATTGTTTTTTTTTTTTTTTTTTTTTTTTTTTTTTTTTTTCCGAATTGTATTTTTATGTAAAATAATAATCAATAAATTTGATCTGTGTTTATAAATAATTGTCATTCATTTTGGAAAAAAAATATTTATCTGTAACGATATCAATTAATATCTTCTCCAAAACCGGGGAGACCGAACAATAAACGTGTGATGCTATTCGCCGGTTTCTAGTGAATGCCGGTCAATATAAACCGGAAGAGACCGGGAATTACCGATACAGACCGGCGAATAGTACATCCCTCTATGAATAGATTTTCGGACTTTCACAATGTTAAGGTCATGACTCTATTTACAGCTTTCGGGTACATATGTATACCATGTACTAAAACGCGGACGCCAATAAAGAAACGAGAAAATGATGCAATTAGCTAAAAACGATGGAGTTAATGAAAAGTGTACATTCTTTTAAAATAAATAGAAAATTTGAGAAAAATATATTTTGAGCTTATTTATTGATACAAATTCTTTATTTGATGAAAGTTCTTCACTTACTGATAAAGATCATTAAAATCCCTATTGATCCTTCAGGGTACATGTTTTGCGTCTATATAATACTTTGATGTTTGTTTACCATTATCTTTGACTACAATATATTATTTAAAACATAATGAAAATTCATATTTATGACCCAAAAGTGCGGTCGTTTGTCTGATGTTAAAAAGTGCATATGTACCTGTTTAACTCACTTTGGGGTCGAAATTGGACCCAAAATGCGTAACGCACTCTGGAGTCGGACCCCCAAAATACGTTCGACCCCAAAGTGCGGTGTTTCAAAGCATGTTAGAGGATAATGACAATATAACGATAATGAAAATGTAAAATTGAATAAGCAATTTCAAAATAAGAACATGGAAATTGTTTTGGTCATGTTAGGTTGATGTTTTCTTGCAACCATTTTCCAAATGTGGGACGATTAGGAAGTGTACTTCACACATGTATTTAAAAATGATAAGGCAAATAATGAAGTCTGTCTGTCTAAAAAGTATATAATCATGACAGTATATGTAGTTCTATATGCTATGTTTAATATTCAAATTGTAACATTTTTGATACAAAAACACCTCTAAATGTTTGTAGATTAGTCTGTCTCAAAACTTAAATGTGCTGAATCAACGGCTATAACATCACAGGGTTATAGGAAACTATAACAGATGATACCGATATAATTAATATGCCTGAATTATGATAATGTTATATGGAATATTTTGTTGAACTAAATGATTTAAAATAAAATGTGTTTAACATCTAGTCTTTAAATTTTCTTATTTTTTATTATGGCATGAACATTTGGAACATTTTGAACAATATACCTTTAAATATTCGTAATGTTAATAACCTTAAATGTTTTAAAGAAAAATACAAAGCATATCTTGATGTTCATATGAATGAATGAGTGAGTGAAGGAATGAATAAATATATGAACAAACGAATGAACGAACGAACGAATGATGCAGTATACGTATATGTTTAACAAATTGTTGAGTGCCTGTCGAAAGTATTTGAGTTGTTTTATTCTAAAAATTACATATTATACATTCATTTTTCTACCTATGCATGTCCTGTTGTTGTTGTTTTCTATTTCAGAAGGCCACATTGGAAATAAGATATATATGATTGTTATTGTATGTTCTTAATGTGTAACCTTCTTTAAATAAAGATATTATTATTATTACTACTATTAAGTATGACCTTTCTATACACATTTATTTGTTTTTTAAAATGCATTTATTTATATTCAAAAATGTTTTCACTGAAATATAATTCTTTGATGTATAAAGTTATAAGTTATATTGTCACAAAACAGCTTAAATTTGTATTTAGGTAAAAACGAATGTGTTTTCTCTATGTCATTTAAGTTTCAATAATTTATGGTATACAATGGTGCATTATATACAGGAAGTAATTTGTATATAAGCAATAGTAGATATAATGTGTATTTTATTTTTAGGTACATTGAACAGCCACTAAAAAACTTTCTTTACCATGCGTTTTATTTATAAACATATGGACAGTTGTACATTAATAAAAACCTCTACCAGTGTATAACAACAAACTTATCCGCGCTTGGTATAGCTGTTGTTGTAGAGTTTGTTGAGATATGCCGAAGTCCAAGTTCTGTCCCACACGTTTGCATAACCACCTGAATAAATATTATAAAACAAATGATAGTTTTCGACAACAATAGCAATTCATTTCTGTAAACCCAAATATACGAGTAATTTATAAAAAAAGATACGTGGAAAACAAGCACATGACTACGCTTTATAGGGAGTCAAAGCTGGCGGAAAATATGGCAAAAAATAAAAGGAAAGTGACGATAAATAACACGTCATCCCTAGTTAGTTTCTTTCTATATAAAACATGAAAAATATTAATAATTTCGAAACTGCACGTCAAAGACAAATGTACGTGATGTTATTTTACCTGAAATCCGTTCGGTTCACATTGCAGAAATACACCAGCCACTGTTGAACCCCCGAACGTTGCCGTAGAAGCCGCTATTGCAGCATAACGGGGAATTCTAGGACAGTTCTTCATGACCTTTTAATGAAAGTTATTGGTTACTTTGTACATTATAATCGACTTACTCGGAATAGAATATGTTAAGTTAGCCCAGCTAACTCACGATTTCTTACACTTTTACTGTAAGAATCCTTAAAATAAGAGCAAATGGTTTATTAATCAATTTGGAAAGGTACTGAACCATAAAGCTATATGTGTACCGGGGTTAGATGGGACAAGCTTAGCTTTAACAAAGGGAAATACTTAGTTGCTTAAACACTAGATTGTACATAATCTAGCATCACCTTAATTGCAAGATGTATACTGAAGGCAGAGATCCAAGTTAAATAAATAAGATGTAAGACTCAATAAGTCCACTGTGTAATTGAATTGTTATTGGAGTCAAAGACAACCATGTTCACAATCATTAAAAATATATATATACATATACAGGAGAGGTGAATAAGTAAGCTGTAATTTGCTATTCAACTTAAAAATATTGATGACATTCCTTACATTTACTCCTGAAGCCCACTGTGTGACTGAAGGAGCACCGCAATACTCCTGAATAAGGGCCTCGCTAGGTTGGTGGGTACCGTCCGGGCATGGTTGAGTGCCAGGATGTGATACGCTTACTCCCTTTGCTAGACTTTCCAATACATTGAGATTGTTACATCCTTTTGATACAATTTGTTCTGCAAATTTCAATATACGTATTAAATGACCTTTATTATAATGCTGTGGGAGCAGGTTGATTGTCGCCGACATCGAAAATTATTATTATTATTTTATTTAACATCCGCAAACAAATATTCGCGTGTCAATGTGCATAATGCTCGAATTCAGCGAAAATCATTTGTTCGCGAATATCTGTTTCATACAGTATCTCAACAGCATAAAGACTTCTTAGTGTTGTTGAAAACATTTTATAGGAAGTAATGCCATTAGTTTGTTTATTTTACAAATTTGTTACAAATATTACATGTGTATTTCTGCTATTTCTACATTGATTTGAAAACAAAGATCTAAACTGATTTTCTTGTATTGTATAAGATAACGAATCTCATGTTAAATTGAATAAAAAAAAGTTATATCATTATATAAAATAGATATTTTACCTGTTGTTGTTGCTAATGTTGTTGTTGTTGTTGTGGATTCAGTTTTTTGGGTTGGAGAGGAAGTTGATGGTTTTTGTGTAGTAGTTATTGTTGTTGTTCTTACAGTTGTAGGTTTGGGCGCATGCGTTAATGCGGATTTGAAATATTGAGCTAAAATATGTACAATGGTAGTGTAGCATTTTTCCAGTTTATTGCTTAGATAGATAACATGCATGTGAGCTGTGAACGTTCCGAATTGAATTGAATTATTAGGAGTATATCAGGCACATATCCATCCTAACATAATCATGCCTCGAGTTTGATCTAGACATAATTTGGATATCTCAATTCCAAACCTGTTTTTATTGCGGACATGGTTGTAAGCAAAACAACAACAAATAACTGCTATCGAAACGAGTAATTGCAATTACATTTTTGAACTGTTTTTAAGAGAAGTTGTAATTTACGAACCCAAGACATGAAATGTACATGTATTGACAATATCTTGTTAATATATAAATGTGCTGATACGGCATTAAAGTCCTTTTTAACAAACATTTTTAAAAAAAATGTATTTTGTAAATAAAAATGCAACACTATTTTGTCATCCCAACGAGTTTGCATTAAATTAATTGAATAACCGTCTTATTGCTAGGTACTGATTGTAACTAAGCTAGTGTGCAGGTCAACAAGGCCGATGGTTCATTCAGCTAGCTGTCTGCTTGTACCAGAGTGCACCAGAAGTCTTCTTCAACAATAAAGTTAGAATGTCGCCAACTCGCCCATATGGCTAATATATCATCCATATTGTCTGTGTAACTTAAAATACTCCATACTTACAACATGTAGTTTGATCACAGTTCGTTGCGTAACAGCATTGCCTACACACACCGGTATGTGGAGCTGAACATATCTGATGATTGAATTAAGAACACATAGAATAAGATAAAGATGTTTTGAGAGGGGAATCTATGGTGGTTGTTTTACGCCATGTCGTATTTTCGCTCCTTCGCCTCAAAATGCGAAAATGCGAAAACACGAAGGGACGACAAATTTGGACTTTGTCGTTCGCTTTTTTTTCGGAATTTCGAGGCAAAAAATCGGAAATACGACACATAAAATATATTCTCTTTGCAATACTTTAGATATGAATGTTATGATATCAGTTAAAGTTAATGATAGATAAACCTTTAGCATCATATTAAATAAGAACGGAAAATATCAATAAAATGCATGATTATTGTTGCCTTAACAGGTTTTGTTTACCATCTTATTGGAGGGAGAAAACTGTCGTTTTTTTCTAAGTGTAAAGTGACAATATCACAAGGCATGTTAGAATTCTTTTAAAATATTACGCTCGGAAATATATGATTTATAATTACGCTTACGTATTGTTTATATCTCACCCCGAACATATTGTATATAAATATATATGTATATATATATAATATATGATTATTCTGATGCACATATAATTTCTTTATTATTGTATTAATACATTTAAAATGAACTTAGTTTTGTCTGTAATGAGATTTTAGAATTGTTACATATTGTATGTAATAACATCCACTATTATCTCATTTAATAAGAGATAAAAACACGGCAGGATAGGCCTGGAAGGTGATAATTAATCGTCCCGCATGATGAATAATGGCCCGACGACTTCAGCCCGAGAGTAGAGTTCTATTCAGGACCGATTATCACCTGACCCATGTAAGACTTGTATTAAGAGATTAATACACGACAGGAGAGGGCCGGAAGGTGATAATCGGCCCGCAAAATGAATAATGGGCTCGAGGGCTTTAGCCCGAGGGCCATTATTCATTCAGGGCCGATTATCACCTTCCGGCCCTACTCTGACGTGTATTTATTAATGTCATTAATACACATGGTAGATCTTACAGTAGCATTTAAAAAATGTGTTTGTACTAAATACGCTTAAACTCTCATAATCAAAATAAAGCGATTCGTGCTGACAACCTTCTTTCACTTTTAACTGTTTGATGACGTTAAATATGACGTCATTGTTTCAGTTTGTGCACGTGCACATGTTCTGCGGTCGGCCCCGGGCCACAAACTCATAAAATGTCACGTGACACTCATAATCAGTTGAAATCATAGGTAATTTTGTTACTATATATAGTAACAAGTGTATTAATAAAATTTTATATATTTATCATAATTATGATGTTTACTTACATGTTGTTGTACGCAGTCATATGTGAAGAGGTATTCACCATGATTTGACTTACGAACTCTAGTTATACAGGACTGAAATGATATTAAACATGTTTCTCTCGTCTAAAGAAGACAAATCAGTATCGTTATATAAATGTTAAAGGTTGTTTTTTTATTATAAAAAGTTTAAGTAAATATTTTTGCAAAATTCATTGCCGACTAACATTTTCTTTTGACTATTTACTTTCATTCCATGATTACGGTGGTAACATTTTTAAACAACTGCAAAGCAAATGCACAGTGTGAAGATTCCTTTTGCCTGTACTGTTGAACTGTATCATTATCAAAACTCCTGAAGCAAATGAAGTAACATGTAACATACATCATGACAATGAACGAACTTCGTACATTCTGATGGGTGTCTCACATCATGGCATTGTCGACATTTCAGTGATGCCCCTTGTACTGTTACACCGGTCGTAACTGAAAGATAATTATATTTCTTTTATCTAAAAATATGATATCTTACCTACTTCATCACTTAGTTATGTTTTAATGCTTTGATGTTTGCTTACCTTACAACAGTGTGTCCTTCCCTTCTACGTACGTTGCATATTTGTACCTGTTGCTAGTTTCTTCAAAATCTGTCTCCATATATTATGTTTCCATAATATTTCTTGTTGGTCACAGTAATGTCTCGCACATGCATAACGCCAGTGTATAACAACCGTAAAAATAGCTTATGTAAAGCGTGTGTATGGGATAAGGCATTCAAGAATATGAAATCTTTGTAGGAGCTCATTTGTCTCGGAGCACATTTGTCTCACGAAGTGTGACCCATGTGTTCGTAAACATTTTTATTTACGACAAATTGGAAATGAGACAGATGTGTTCGACACACAATAGAAAGGACACTCAAAGCACATTTGTCTCACATTTTTCCATACAATTATTTTAAATGTTATAATTATGCCAATCTGTATACCGGCTATCAGCCCTTGTTCTGTGTTTTCTGTATTTATAATAACGGTTTTAGGTCACTTCCGGTCTGTCAAAAAACTACCTGCTTCTGCATAGGAGCCATAAATTAAATTAAAGAATATCTCTGTTCTGCATGTCACAATGAAAATTTCTACAAGAGCAGCATCCAGAACCTAAACACATATGCAGCAAGTCTTTTCTTATCGTTATTCATTGTGGTACGTTTATTTTCAATGCTTAAAGTTTTATAGATGATTTAGGGCACTAGAAATATTTTAGCAAAAACAAGGTAGTATCTACGGTGGCATAAAGGGGACATAGAATTTTCTTACTTATTACCTGCGCACACGAGAGCTCTTACGTGGCCACGTGATACTATTACGTGCGCGCGCGATAGTTATTACGTGCGCACGCGGATATGTATAATTTCGCATTTGAACCCTGACCGGGATCCTCGCATGAATAGTTCGACGCCCCGTGTATGTGTTGAATCTACAGGGCTTAGGGGCAGGTGGTTTTTTGAAATCACTCGGTCACTGAGTCCCTTAAATGATATATGGAAGAAAATAAGAAGACCATTACAGACGTATTTTGTTTTCATCAGAAATATATGTATAAAAATCGTCATTTTCCAATAATTGCGGCTTTCAGATCCGCCATTGAAAAAGCACTTCAACATGGAGGAGTTCCTAAAATAATCCGGGTAATGCCATAATTATGGAAAATCGGGCCACTTAGAATCAGGCAAGACACGACATTCCGATGAGACACGAAGCGAGGCACGGTATTGTAACACGAGATCTTGCAACACGAGATCTTGCAATGTCGATATACCACATACCACGAGATTTCAGAAATGAATAAATTTTTACTTTTTAAGATAGGGCAAATATGAATCTATTAATATTCAAGTAATGATTTCTGAGAAAGTAAGATGCTTGTAACGCACAGAAATTCGCGATAATGATGAAAAAATGCGTCATAAAAGTAGCAAAATGTAAACGAAGTAGTATTTTGACTTCAATACAAAATTCTAAATCACTTCAACTGTACAAACAGCAAAAAGCAGCAGATGAAAAATGCTTGAGGTAATTAGCTAATGAGTATTTGTTGGCTATAAAGTGTACCAAACATTTAAAACTTCTGGGGAATACAAATAAAAGCATTTCTAAGGCATAATGGGCCGTGATTTTATGTAGACTATAAAGGGAATACTACTTAGTGGTACTCGTATATGACTTGGAATCATTTTTTTGTCTAACGTCGACGAACGAGATGCGAAGCGAGACGCGAGATTTCGGCGAGATGCGAAACGAGTCACGATATTGTATCATTCAATATCAACCGATTATGGTGTTCCGTTCGGACATAAGTAACATTTTTGTCTCCGAACTTAAGTAACAATTTTGTCTCCTTGAACAGCTATGCACAATGGTACAAAGGTGAAATTGAGATGGTACGATGATACGATGATTAAAACACGATAGCACGATTGTGAAATCACGATGATGCGATGACACGATAGAGAAAATAAAATCGCGTTTTCATCATCAATCCATCACAGTTTTATCATATCGTACCATCGTATTTTCACCATAGTATCATAATGTTTTCATCATCGAGCCTTCGTTGTTTCACCATCGTACAGTCGTTGTTTGACAATCGTACAGTCGTTGTTTCACGTTCGTACCATTGTGTTTTCACCAACGTACCATCGTGCCATCGCGCTGTTGCAATTGTACGGGATTTAGTATGTCTACCGTAGTATACGCCTTCAGGTTAAGCCAATCAATTTCTTGAATTAGAGATCATATTATAATTAATAGTTCATTAATAGTTCATTAAGATTTTCATAAAGAAAGCATAAGCAAACTTATTGATGATTACACTTGACATGAGTTAAAACGGCGAACCTCGATCCTAAAAAAGAATTTCTGCCGTCTGGAAATATGTGACAAATAATTCATAAAAAATGACATGAGACAAATGTGCTTTCCTGTCCCTTAAAAACACACGAGACAAATGTGCTTTCTTGTCCCTTAAAAAACTTGATCGGAGCACATTTGTCACACAAATGAGGTTTTTGGGGAAGACATTTGAGGTCCCATTTGTCTCATGTGAGACAAATGAGACCGCATCGGTCTTACGTAAGACAAATGTGCTCCGAGACAAATGTGCTCTTACAAAGCTTCAGTATGTTCAGCTTCAGTTAAGTAAAACATGAGTTTACATTTCAAATGTGTGTAATTCCGATGGGTACAAAATATAAAGTTGTAAAATTAATTTGGTTACAGAAGATCAAAGCTGGTATTTATTTGAGACAACAAAATATTACATATTCCAACAGGTGCAGCTATTTTTTTTAAATAAGATATGAGGTTATCCTTATCCAGAAAATGTCAATTAAAACGTTTCTGTTTAATAGCTAAATATATATATAGTTAAAGAAGATATAACAGAAGAAAATACAATTTACCGATTAGAAGAAGAAACAGAACGCCGACTTTCGCCATTTTACTGTTCCTTATTGATAATATATTAGTAGGTCAAATCCGTTGGCATAGATTTCTCTACTTATATCAAATGTGGATATGGAGACCGTGAAGGGACATGACTTGACTCATGACTTTCTTGTCTGTCAGCTTGTTAAGAAATGCACGATTCAGAGTCATTATATTACATTTACAACTACAAGATTTTAACTGTAGTACCTTTTTCTATCTCATAATTTTGAACATTTCATAAAATTAACATCATGACACAAATTATGCGCTTGTTGATGCCTATATTATACCTTTTTTTAACCTTTATTGACACTAGACAACAAACAAGAAAGCATTTGTGAAAATTACACCACCAGCAATAAATATAATGTTAGTCTTCATCATTTTTATAACTTATAACTTTTATAACACATCAGCATGAGTATGATAATTATTATACTGGTGAAATGCAAGTACTGTCCTAAGATGATAATTTGGTCTTAACAGTACATGAGAAAGTCCAAAAACGGGGCTGTCTGGATTATGATCCGATTTCGTAAAAGTAAACACTTACATTAATAATAATAATAATGATAATAATAATAATAATAATAATAATAATAATAGAAATAATAATAATAATAAAAATAATAATAACATAATTATTATACTATATAGCATTATTTTTACAGTATCGTTGGTGTATGACCGTTATGGCTCTGTCGGTAGATCGAAGTTATTAGCACTTTTAGTGTTTTCTACTCATGGGTTCGAACCCCACTTAGTGCCATTTTATAACCAGTTTTTTTCTTCTTGCTCTGTTTTTTATCATTATTGTTTATTTATTTTTCGTTTTTCTTTTTGTTTTCATCTTACAATATATGTTTTATAGTATATATTTATTTTTTTGATTTTATGCTATTTTCTTTTTGTATTTTTTAATCGCAGTGTAATAAAATATTCGATCTCATATTCATGTATGTATATGAAAAAAACTTTTTCTGAACAATTGACTGTTTTCTAAGGTAAAAAAGAAGTGTCTTACCAGATTCTTCTGCCTGTACGGGTAAAACACATTACTGACACGGTTGCTCTACCTACTGCGCTAACAAAACATATCATAACGTGTAATTTTATTTTCATTTTTATAGGTTATGGCATTGATCTGCCTGACCTATTTTTGGCATTGTTATTGGTCTTTGTTTTGTAAACAAAGTCTCAAGTTATCATCCTAGGACAGTAAAACACATATTAACTGATAGATACAGGACTTATTTACATTAAAGTTAATCAAGAAAAAACCTAAAATGAACGTTTGTCTCTTTCTATATTCCGTTGTTTTTACATTGACACGATTCTTGAGGTCAATTAACTATAAGAACTCAGTTGGTTAATTCGTGATTTATATTTCTTGTGTAACAAATGCCAAACTGTTTTTCTATAAAATAGTTACTTTTTAATTGGTTTTTAAATCATTTGATTTGCACAAAGTGCAAATTTGTTAATTTATTTTCTTTTGATTATATGATTATAAACCAGTTTTTATCACTATTGTCAAAATAAACAATGGTCTTAACAATTTAAGCGTTTGATTCATATTTGAAATTGCAAAAATGCTTTTGTGTCCCTTCAATGAGAAAAATACTATAGACCTACATGTTTTAATTTCCGACAAGTATTTTATTCTTGTGTTTTTTTGCAGGAAGCATATTGATATTGTTGTCATATTACGAATTGTATGGCCATATATCCCCGGCTATCGCGTCGTTTAAATCATCTCCTCAATATTGTTTTTTCTCTTATATCAGTTATTAATTTGGTCTTGATTATGACACCACTTATACTGATACACGTTCCCTGTTGTAACAATATAAAACCCCAGAAAAAAGCAACCAATAAACCAGTAGTAGAATGTGGCAATTCTATTGTTATTCCTGTCTCTGTCCTCACAAAAGTAAACCCAAGAAAAATGAGTCAATCAATTGGCATGCTCTGGAGTGCGGGTAACTAATACCTGCACTCCAGTTAACGCCCTGTGCATGTATGTGTCTGAAACAATTTCAACAGAAAGGTCCCCAAACTATGATACAATAAATGTTGATGATTTTCATAGAAACTTGTTAAAAATTTAATGATTTTTCGGTGAAAATGATATAGTTTAGTTTTACTACAGATAAGATCAAAGTGCTGAAGGCACTAAAAGTACCGGATAAACTAGTGACTTTAAGTAACACAATTTCACTCCAGTTTCACAGGTAAATTAATTCTTTACGTCAGGTTTTACGTCTTTATATCAGTATACCTTTGCGTTTTGAGACTTTTTCTTTTGAAAATAATCCAACCGAGTAAAATAAGCCCTGTTTTAGGAGCAACTAATTAAATAAGTAGCATACCTGATTTCTCTTTCATAAATTTGCTTTATCAAATTTTATTCTATTCAAATATTCAGAACATTCTGTCTACTACTTGAAATATTCCTGGGTATAAATACAAGGGTGCGTTTTGTTTTGTGAATCTAGTTATCCTGACGATAAAGATTTTGCAAGCAATCTGGTGTACCTCTCTTATTTTTTAGTGCCAACACTCAGTATTAGATTCCAAAGAAACTGTCTGAGGGGACCTTTTACGTTTAATTACGGTATAATCACTATAACCGAAATACTTACGAATTATTTGTTATGCTTGTAGCTGTGAAAATTTTCATTCATGTGTTTAAAATACTAAAGAAAGTAGCTTTATAAATTTTCGAAACGATATCCAGTATTTCCGAAAGAATTTACAAAGGATTTTGATACACTATCTCATACATCTTCGTATTACGAGTACTATCCACCTTTTTCCAAGACATACATAATTATGAAAAACAAGATAAAAAACGAATGGTAGCATTAAACGAACGCAACACCTACACGACCAAGCCAGAAAGGGTGAAAGCTTAGTTATCCATGAAAAAATACTTCAGGCTTTCAAATGGCAAATAACAAGACAAAACAAAAGAAAAACAGAAAGAGAGAAAGAATAGATAAAAGAAGAGTTAAAAAGACAGGAAAAGTAAAGATTTCAGTGCTATATAGCAGGGAAAGTAAAGATTTCAGTGCTATATAGCAGGAAAAGTAGGGTTCTTCTCTTAATTTATGCAATCAAATGCACCAGATCGATATTTATCCATTGCATTCTTTGAAACAAATCACTCGTGTCTTAACAATATAGTCGAGAAATGAACCTGAGTTTTTTTTTATCAAATCAAAATATTAACAAAACTATTTACAATTAGTATGTCATGATAAAACAGACTATTAGGAGTAAAAACTCAGGTAAAGATATGCACCGCCCCTCTTCCAAGTTTGTATACAGTCTAGGAATTGGAAGTGTTTTAAAATATAGTTTAAGCAATGGTTGTTGTATGAGATGAGGTTAATATCTTACCGAGTTCTTAAAATTACTTTTACTTACCTGTGCTTTACTTTTGTCTTGCAAGTATCATGATTTTGTTTGTTCGTTTTATTTGAAAGAAAGTTTGGGTCTAAAAACTACAATTATATGTTATATGTTTTAAGTTTACTAGTATTTCAATAGTAACGACAATAACCCTGCTGTGGTAGCTCGAGTGTGTCGTGGACTGCGTCCTGTGAATTTTGTCGTCGCCTTGTTGATCTTTATTCTTCTTTTGTTTACTCTTATCCTGCTTTCAATTTCTTTTCCACCGGGAAGCTTCAATATATCGATAACATTAAAGCAGAGATCAATTGACCCATAACTAATACAGAAATTTTTCAAGATATCTGCTTAAGCATACAATCAATACTGATGACAATAATATTTATACAGCCAGGGTGTAACTCTTTTCCGACCTTCTTGATAATGTTCATCGTGTGCTATTAAATTTTGCATGGAACAGGTATTAATTTCCTATAGTTGTGAATATCCTGATCAAAAAACGTAGTAATCAAAATGTAAAATGATAAAAATACAATTTCAGATCTATCTACTCTAGCAATGCACATCGATTTTTTCTTGTAGAATATATAGTATATGCACTAGACGCACATGAAAAATATTAAATAATAAAGTTGATGTCTTAATGTCCTATTATGTGGCCCGGTTCATTCCTTATGTAGCCAGTGCTTTCAGTGCTTTGAGCAGAGTAAAAGAGAAAACGAAAGCGTTTTCTTTGTATTGTGCAAGTGTGTGCGTGTGATTTTTGATGCTTACAATACTCAAGGCCTTGTTCGTTGTGCAAAAGGTATAACGGTGTATTTTCTTAACGGATGTCAGATAAACCAGTGACCTTTGAAAACCCATCACACTGTCTTGATAAAAGAAAACTTAGCCAACAAAAATAATACATAATATTTATTAATTACACGGTCGCACTCAATTTAGAATATTTTAAAGTTTGTATGTCAGTTTCCATCTCTGTACGTTTAGCCAACTTCATCATTGTAACAGAGTAAATATACATGATTACAACAATACAATGCTTTAAATGTATTGAAATTGCTTTTGAATAATTTTTCTCACAAGAACATATGTTCAAAACAAGAAATTTAAAAAAACAAATCCATAGTTTGCTCTTAAATTGGTATATTCCGCTTTCGCATTCCGTTGCTCCGATACACAAAGAAATACTCCGTTTCGCTTTTAAGTCATCCCGAGACTCGTGACGTGACCGTTGTTTATGTTCAGATTTGCAAACGCTTTTCCTACGAAATTGGAAAAATATATATTTTAAACGAATTGCCAAGCCAAAGAACACATATCAATGTATCACTGATTCAGTTTGAATGCCCCTTGCACGCAGGTAACAAAAATTATCGGTTCGTTCTTTGTGACATTCGACCATACCTCAGTGGAGAACCTTTAAAGCTCAGTGACATGTTGTACATCAGAAAAGCTATTTTTATTAGAAAATTGGAAAACAGTGTGATTTTGTTAAAACAAAAAAAAAAAAAAAAAAAAAACACAACACAACACAAGCTAAAAATCCCCTTTTGCTGCAATGACGAATACATTTAATAGACACTGCGTACCAGTCGCACGATCTATAAATGGAATCTACCTCAGTTTATGCCGGTATGCTCGAAAGATTTTCTTGGCTCGCGTGGACGTACGAGATGCGAAGACGCGAGATTCCGATGAGATGCGTCACGAGTCACGATATTGTATCTTTCAAATATTGCCTGATTACGGTGTTCTGTTTGGACATAAGTTACATCTTTTGTCTTCCTGAACCGCTATGCACGATGTTACAATGGTGAAAACACATTGGTACGATGATGAAAACACGGCGACACGATGATGTAACAACGTTGCCACGCTAATGGAGAAATCACTATGATGCAATGACAAATACGATTGTGAAAATAGTAATTATCGTACCATCGTATTTTCAACATCATAACATCGAGTTTTCACCATCGTACCATCACGTTTTCATCATCGTGTCTTCATTGTTTCACCAGAGTACCATCGTTGTTTTGCTACCGTACAATCGTCGTTTCACGTTCTTACCATCGCGTTTTTATCATCGTACCATCGTGCCATTGCGCTTTCACCATTGTGCCATCGTGAACGGGATTCCGTATGTTTCAGTGTAAGCCTCCACATTCAGCCATTTATATTTCTTGAGATATTAAAATTAATAGTTCAACTGTAGGTTTCATTAGCAAATCTAATGAAATCAGAATCAAAAACACCAGTTTCATCTGTTCTTTGTCTTGTACTTGTACTATAGTTAGCTATCTCTTTGATAGCGTTAGCTATATTTCCAGTTTTCATTGTTTATGACCTCATTTCTTTTCTCTAATATAAGTGACTTCCAATAAATAGGGTAAAGCTAGTGACCAGTAACAACGACAAAACGACCAAACTATAAGCACCGAACAAAACTATTTTCCTTGCACAAAAATATCCCTCCTAAACTGATTTTAGACAAAGATCATTTAAATAAGAAGATGCAAAAGATGTAGGGTATGGAAAGTTTAAATGTGTTGTCATAATTTTTGTTAAATATATTTTGTTAGCAACTAAATTGTATCAATTTTAAAAAAAGAAAACAATTGCTCACAGTGTTTGACTTTGCAACTCATTTATTAGATAATATATTAAGACCAAGACCTTATAATCCCTTTCACCCCTTCTATATTGAAGTGTTGTATGGCAATTAAACACAGAAATGTGATATTTTGTGAAAAATGTCTACTGATAGCAAAATAGCAATACTCATTCTAATCAAAATATATCTGAGATATAAAATTATATACCAGAAATCATACTATATAGTACATGAACATGTACTGAATAATGATCTTCACAACTCGATGATATCGTGCATCCTAATGTCAGATCAGATCACTATTTTCAAATGCACATTAAAGTATTATAACCTTCCTGTTGATATTCGTAATTCTCAAAAAATGACCAAAAATTCTCTATACAAAATTAAACAGGACAGAAAAGATACCTACTTTTGTAGCGTCTTCCCTCAACAACTGGTTTGTCCAAATCTTAACTCATATATGATACCAGTAATTTTCTAGTTATTTTTAGCTCACCTGTCACAAAGTGACAGGGTGAGCTTTTGTGATCGCTTTTCGTCCGGCGTCCGTCCGTCGTCCGTCCGTAAACTTTTACTTTAAATGACATCTCCTCATAAACCACTAAGCCAATTTCATCCAAACTTCACAGGAATGTTCCTTTGGTGGTCACCTTTAAAATTTGTTCAAAAAATTTAATTCCATGCAGAACTCTGGTTGCCATGGCAACCGAAAGAAAAAACTTTAAATATCTTCTTTAAAAAAAAACATAAAGATAGAGCTTAGATATTTGGCATGAAACATCTTCTAGTGAGTGTCTACCATGTTTGTTCAAATAAAAGCCTTATTGTCAAAATTGGCCCCGCCCCAGGGGGTCATTGATTTTCCCTATATGGATATAGTAAAAACTTAAAAAAATTCTTTTAAAGAACCCAAAAAGCTAGAGCTAAGATATTTAGCATGAAACATGTCCTAATGGATGTCTACCAAATTTGTTCAAATAAAAGCCCTGGGGTCAAAATTGGCCCCGCCCTGGGGGTCATTGATTTTCTCTATATGCATATAGTAAAAACTTAAAAAATCTTCTTTTAAAGAACCTAAAGAGCTATGGCTAAGATATTGAGCTTCAAACATGTTCTAATAGGTGTCTACCAAGTTTGTTCAAATAAAAGCCCTCGGGTCAAAATTGGCCCCGCCCCAGTGGGTCATTGATTTTCCCTATATGCATATAGTAAAATCTTAAAAAATCTTCTTTTAAAGAACTCAAAGAGCTATGGCTAAGATATTTAGCATCAAACATGTTCTAATAGGTGTCTACCAAGTTTGTTCAAATAAAAGCCCTGGGTCAAAATTGGCACCGCCCGGGGTCATTTATTTTCCTTAAATGTGTATAGCAAAAACTTAAAAAATCTTCTTTGAAAAAAACCCAAATAGCTAGAGTTAAGATATTAAGCATGAAACATCTTTTAGTGAGTGTCTACAAAGTTTGTTCAAATTAAAGACATGGGGGCAAAATTGGCCCTGCCCCGGGGGGTAATTGATTTTCTTTATATGTGTATAGCAAAAACTTAAAATCTTCTTTGAAAAAAACCAAATAGCTAGAGTTAAGATATTAAGCATGAAATATCTTCTAGTAAGTGTATACAAAGTTTGTTCAAATAAAAGCCCTGCGGTCAAAACTGGCCCGGTCCCAGGGGTGTCATTGTTTTTTTCTATATGTGTATATTAAAAACTTAAAAAAGATCTTCTTTTAAAAAGCCCAATGAGCTAGAGCTTAGATGTTTAGCATGAAACATCTTATGGGTGTCTACCAAGTTTATGCAAATAAAAGCCCTTGGGTTAAATTGGAGCTGCAACGTGTGGGGGGTCTATATACAGGTGAGCGACCTCAGGACCATCATGGCCCTCTTGTTTCTTTTGTTGCTAGTTTAAGGTTTGATTTAATTTGGTTTTAAGTAATTATTTAAACATACATATATGTATGTATGTGTAAATGATTGTTCGAACACATTACCTTCGATAAAAGAAATTTATTTATTTATTGAAATGCTAGTAAAATACATATATGCATGCACATTTTATTGTTTAATCAATGTTTGCTCAAAAAAAATAATGTTATGTACCGGTATTTACGACAAATTCAAAGTAATCAACATGATTCATCAGGGGGACAAACATAATTTAAATATTTTGAAGAAAGTAATTAAGCATAATAAACACAATAATATCATTTTCGATATATATCTATTTATTTATTAAAACCTTATACATTAAACAGAACATAATGATAACAAAAACTATCATTTTTAATAACTTGAAAATTATGAAGCATTTGGTCATCGAAAAATATCAAGAACAATAAAGACTGTTTACGTTCTATGAGTCAGGGTACTTGTTAGCTTGGTGTTGTTATAAATCATTTTTTCTGTTAAAAAATTATTTTGGAAACAAATTTGTCAATACTTTTTTACATTTTAATTTATCATTGTATTATTAAATGCATATATAGTTTATTCTAGATGTTCAATGCTGTTGTTTCTATATTTAGTAAAATGAGCCGCGTCACGACAAAACGAACATAATGGGTTTGCGACTAGCATGGATCCAGACCACCCTGCGCATTCCGTGCAGTCTGATCAGGATCCATGCTGTCCGCTTACCAATCCCATTACAAATAGAGAAACTGGTAGTGAACAGCATGGATCCTGATCAGACTGCGCGGATGCGTAGGTAGGTCTGGATACATGCCAGTCGCAAACGCAATATGTTGGTTTTGTCGTGACGCGTCTCACTTTAAATTTATACACAAAATCCACAATGTTTTGGACATCTTAATTGAGCGAGACTGTAGCCGGCCCCTGCACTTGGATCACAGTACCCAAAGTATTTCATATCATCACAAGTAAATCCAGCGTCCGCTGAATCTACACAATGTTGTTGCGGTGTTGTTGTCTTCATTAAACCTGATTCAGAAGAAATAATGATGTCATAACTTAGTAATACTATTTCAACAAACACAGTTAAATTTGTAATAATTGCACATAAACATAACGTTTTTTGACTTCATACAGTTTGCGAAGTTTTTTGTAAAGCCCCGTCATCTCCCGAAAATGCATCCACAAATTCCATAAAACCTAGTATGTGTAATTATAGCGAGAAGTTAGTCATTTGATACAGATTAAAAATTGTATTTCTGTAGTCTTTGTGAAATTTCAATGAGCGTATGACTGTCTTTGAAAAATTTTCAAATGTTATGTTTCTTTAATAGTTATGAACTTTCATATAATCTTCAAAATAAATTGACCTATGGAGTGTAAAATTTTTCTTTACGTACTCGATCAGCTACTGAGAAAATAGAAAAAAATGAAAGTGACCAGCGAGTAATTTGAGACAGTGAATATGTACGTCAAAAACTAATAAAGGCAGGTTAATAATGACGTCACGTTTAGTGATGATGACATAAAATGTTTACTGTGTGATGAAGTGGCAGTTGCTCCAGCAGTTGTCGTTCGTTCTGTAGTTGTTGTGGTTTGTGTAGACATAGACACATGGGCGGTTGTCGCTGTTGTTGTTGTTATATTAGGTATAAATTTGGCTGAATTATAAAACAAGCTTTTCAACACAAATATACAATGTATAACAATTGTGGGTTTTTGTCAACTTTTCTAAAAATCAAAAAAGATCAGAAAGTGGTAAGTTTTAGATCTAAATATTAAACAAAAGCTTCTTTTTAATACTTCAAACATAGTTAAAAACATGTTATAGAACATTTTAATTAAAATGCTACCAATAATATAAATAAGCAAATTACGTACAACATGAATGTTTGTCACAAAGGTTTCCATGACAGCATTCTTTACACACGTGTTCTTCATGATGTCCGTGATGATCCGGTTTATGATGGTGATGATTCCAGTCATCACATACCTACACTTGCAACAACAAAAAACTGTCGTGACGCTTTTTATGCGCGTTCTTTAAAACATGTGTATTTCACGTCACTGCCTGTCCGATAAATAATTTGAGAAGGAATGAGTCGTGGTTTATGTGTCTTGGTTGGGCAATTGCCCAAGTACAGATAACCATTGCCTTGAACAACAAAATTACTATAAAATGCTTTGACATCAGTCTTAAGATTTGATGTGAATGTTAGTAATTGCTAGAAAATGAACTCTCTTAATTTATAGCTCAATAAATCAAAGGTCAAGGTCACGGTGGTATCGGTCCGGCCACTTTTTTTTACAGTCATAAGAGTGAACGTGTAGGCTGTCCATGGCTAATAATTGATGACCCCTATTTATTTTGAGGTCATTCGGTTAAAGGTCAATGCCGCAGTAAAGTGGATATATTTCAGTTTAGAAAAAAACAACAACAACAGAACTTAGCGGGGACATTGCCCATCAGCAATAGGCCTAAATCTATCAACCTTTATAGGAACATTTCAAATGCCTGAAGAATCAATTGACTCTGTGGTCATAAGGTCATGGTCACAGTGACGCATGAAACGGTAAGATCAAGAACAAGTTTCCTCTGTTTGTGGCTTAAATAATATTATATATACATTGTATGATACGAATCAATATAATGTTTAAATTTCATAAATTATTTATGAAAGTATATAAATATGCCATTGTGAAAAGTAATGAAATATAGACATACGCGTCCTTTAGACTTTCTTTATTCCATAATTTGATAATCTAATCTTGAGAAAGGCATGTTCTGTTCAACATGAAATACAAGTATTACATGTCTCTCATTTTACCATGCACAGGCAGTTCCTATATATAATGACCTTGTTTCTTGAGTGATGTTTGTATATATATACTTACAGCAATAACATTGCAAGAATAACTGAAAACATATTGTCCGTGCGTGTGGTGCACATCGGTCACACAAAACTGAAATCAAATAAAATCGTATTCAAAATGAAACATTTTCTCCCGTATACTGATTTTTCAACGGCGAACTCAAATAAATTTACATCACAACTAGTTATCTATTTCGCGGCAGTTCCCTCACAGGTAGATTGTGTATATTATTACGAAATTCGTCAAAGAGTTTTTAAAAGTTGCACCCACCCACTAGATTACTCAATTGAAAGTGAAAGTAAACTTTAGAAATAAAATCAGATATACTGCAAAAAACAGTTGCGTAAATGCAACTTATGCAGATAGCAGTTCAGGACATCGCAAAGTAAGTTATTTTGAAGTAATAAATTATATCGTGGTTTAATAAGAATTATAGAAGTTTACATCGTTTAAATGTATTACTTTTTCAGACTTTTAAATAAACGCAAAAGCATGTTTGGGTATTATATTTTTTCTGAAAGGAAACTGGTAAATAGTAGAGGGAATGAGCGCCGAGGACTAGTTCAACATGCTTAAACATAAGATAGATTACAACAAAGGAATGATACTTTGTCAAATAAAGACTCCTAAATATTTCTTTAGGTATTGTCTCTAACACTCTTTACACATGACTTTAAAATAATAAAAGAAGACAAAATTTGTTTGATGTTAAAATTATTTTGACATAACTCACTGCCTGGCAAGGTGCATGTGTCATGCATTCTGTGGGGTGATGGACTTGGTCACATTGCCGGCACATCATGGTATGGCCTGGTGCGACCACCTGAATCACTGTAACACACAAAATGCCATGCATGTATATTTATAGATAGAACAATGTGCTTATGTTTCTAGACTGAAGTGAACTATTCGTATTGCGCTTCTCCTTATTTTAAATACATGTCATTCTTTAAAAATTAATTAATTGACAACGTAAAAATGAAAAATGTCATAGTAGGTCATTTTTTAATCTTTTTTATTTAATGCTTTTATAAAATATAAAATTATATTTGATAATTTCACAGTGAAAATTATCAAAATATCATTTCACACTTTTCAATGATGCGACTTTTTAAGATTTTCCCCATGCGGTACCACAATTTTATTATTGTTGACAATTTTGACATTGTCAGGGCTGTTTAGAGAAAAGCAAAGCTGAAATAGATAAATAACTGAAATTTCAAAAGTAATAAAAAAAAGACAACTTACTTCAAATCATTCAAATTACAAATCACCAAATATCAACTCTAAATTTTTGTTCATTTTTAAATTCTGATAAATACAAATTTCTTTCATGTGTAAAACTGCTTTTCATGAGATTTGGCATATTTGAGTATCCTTCGAGCAATTAAAGCCTAATAACTTGAAAATCAATGATGACAGACCTCTGCCAGAAGAATAAGTAAACAACACGGCGTTCGTGTGGCAGCCTTTCACTGTCAACACTCATTTATTGTCTGTAACAATCGTTGAATAAGTTTTATTTCTTCTAAAAAGATGTATGGCTACGGCACTCGTTAGAATACAGTTTTTAGAGCTCACTCGATGAAATATAATTTCATCTCACACACAAACAAACAAATATACTCTATATAATAATATGGAGTCTAACAATATCTTTGTTATGTATCTCCAGGATATACTGTTTTCTGTTATATGCTTATGTCGTGTCCAAAATGAAATTCGATGCACTGTTTAAGTTGCTTAGTTAAAATTTTATGTTATAATAAAAAAAAGTAAGTAAGTTATTCAGACTTTTATAGAATTATAGAAGTTTACAACGTTTAAATGTATCACTTTTTCCGTTTTATGACTTTTTAATATACGCAAATGCATGTTTTGGTATTACTGGTATTTTTTTTCTGAAAGGAAACTGGTAAAAAGTACAGTCCTCGGCTCGCATTCCTTCTACTATTTAGCAACTTAAACAGCGCATAGAATTTGCAACAAAAATATAGATGATTGCCTGGTAATCCTAAAGTATACTTAGCGGCTTTGTAAAGCCACTTTTGAACGTTTTGATACCCACTGTTACGTACACAAATGTCTCGGTGCTAAGTCCTTATGTTCTAATACAAAGAAACTTAATCCTCATTCAGAGTGAGTTATGAAAGGCCTTTTAAGGATAGCAGAGTCCTAATTACTCTAATTGTAAGAACTCCAAAATATTGCTCCATATTATATAGAGGATATTTGTTTGTGTGTGATATGAAATTTAATTTCATCGAGTGAGCTTTAACTGTATTCTAACGAGTGGCGTAGCCATACATCTTTTAGGATGTATAAATGACTTATTATGACTTTTTTATTTCATGCTTTTCAGGGGAATACTGATTTATCCCAGAAAATTATTGTTATTAGTAGTAGTATTCTTATACGCCACACATGAGAATACTGTTTTTAAAGCTCACTCCTCTATATAAAGTTTGATGGTTCCACTTAGCATTATGTATATATATTATAATATAGAATGTATAGCATTATTATACATATATATATAAATATATAAATATATCAAGTTTTACACGCGGACGCTAGAACAAACAGGTCCTTCAGAAAAAGGTAATCAAAATGTACATAAAACTGTCCACAAAAGAAGATTCTGACATATGGTCAATGAGTAACTTTTTTGAAACTGTAAACTGAAAAATAAAAGTTATATAATTTTGAGGGTTGGGAGTTTAAAACTACTTAATATACTAAATATTTCAATTTCCAATTTATACTTTGTTTTAAACTAAGAGTACTCACGAGAGGTTAAAAATAAAACAGTCAGAAGCATATCCGTGTTGTGCTTTTGATGTTCACACCCTATACACATTATGTTATCTTCAAAATAGTTCCCAATATGACTGAAAATCTGTATAGGTTCACATTATATGAACCTTCAGATAAGCTCGTTTGTGAAATAAAAGACAAGGACATTTTCTGCATTTCTCAAGTTTGCGTGAAAATACACAAAGTGTTAAGTTCGTCAGTTTTGAACAGGGCGTCAGCATGTATATTTTATTTTTGTTCATAGTATATATGTTCTATTGATGTGAAACTTAATTATTTACTTATTTACTAATTTCAAAGTAAAGTGAATTAATATAAATTATAAGTCACGGTTCAATATTTTCAAACTATTATCTTTCTTCTTTTTTGAACGCTGTCGGTGTCCCTCCGAGTTTTGATATATCAATATCTGAACTAAGCAACATCGTTCACGGGTTAATATATTATCAAATTAAAATCGTTCAAGACAGATACGTATACTTTTACATTACTCCATACGATTTCATCTATATAAATATCTTTGTCCATTTGCTTTATTTCATGGATTCAGTATGGTGACTTTTTGATATGTTTGGTGTTGACAGTTTTTGAAACTTTCAGTGACTTATTTTAACTGTTTAACTATTAGACTTTTATAGAATAATATATCAAACAGCGTTTTATACAGATTAGACATTTGGGGAACTATTCTGGTCTATGGCGATATCGGCGAACTTCCGCTGCAGACATTATCTAGTAACGTTTGCCGAGTGGAAAAGCCTCGATTAAGTTAGGTGCTTATGGCAACCTCGAAGAGCATAACGGTAACGCAAGCATCTTCAAATAGTGGTTTTAAAAACTTTTGCCGAAAGAACTTCAAAATTATTGGTAATTTTCTCCCTGTCCTATTATTGTTGGAGCATGCCAGGAATTAGTGTTACAAGTACCAAGCGAATGTACAATGTAACTATATTTTTTTTCTTTGGGCTTTCTGCCGTTTGATTAGATACAAATGATTGATAAATGGTCAAATATCATAAACAATCAAGTCAAATAAATAATAGCGGTTTTCTCAAATAAACTCTAAAATTCTTACTTAAGTGAGCAAGTAAACAATATTTTCACAGCCTAATAAAACACTCATTTAACCAATATAATATAACTATCTAGCCGCAAACCCAATAATTACCTATAGTCCATCAACTACCTCCCTATCCATGAAGCGAGGTTTCTATCGGATAGGAAGATAAGCTGCTGATAGGGATTTATAACAAAGTTCCAGCTAGAATATATAAAATATTTATATTGTTTTTTATATGTCTCGATTTTTAATACTTATACGTTACCAATTCCCTGATAGCGAGGCTTTCAGAAAATGTGGAGGTTTATAAGTACCCGGAGTCCAATGCAATTTTGCAAACTTTAATATAACGACACTATATCCATGAAGCGAGGCTTCAGTTGAAAATATTTACTTTGGCCAATTAATCTTTTATATGCTTCAATTAGATATAGCTCTATGTATGAAGCGAGGCTTCTGTTACATAAAAGAACCTGGTCCCGTTGAATTCCTCTGCAGACTATATTAATGTGTTTGGTTTATTTACCCTCGCCACCAGTATAAAACCATATGGGCGAGTATACTGAGTAATTTTTTTTATATTTTTTTTATTTTTGTTTTGATGCGTTTATTTAAGGTCGCCGCCGGAAAGCCCATATGGGCGACCGTACACTCAAGTCGGGCCATTCTAGAGCATCTCGCCGAGATTTTTCGTCGATTTTTTTCCAGCTTTATTGGTGGAGGAAGATCCCAGGTGCCCCTCCGGGCATTTATTATTTCAGGCACGAGCGGGCACCTGGGTAGAACCACCGACCTTCCGTTAGCCAGCTGGATGGCTTCCTCACATGAAAGAATCCGACCCGAGTGAGGATCGAACCTACAGTGGTGAGGGACCTGTGATCTCAAGTCAGCGACTTTAACCATTCGGGCACGGAGGCCTGTTAAATTTGCATTAGTGGCCGTATTTATACCTGCTGAGATTATCGCTCGAGCAAGACTTTATTTCATTGGCTGATTAGAATGATCATAATCATTGAGACGTTTATTACATTATACGATTTCAAACGTTCATTGAAAAGACTTATACCAAACGTATATTGTAAAGTACCGTAAACTAAAATACATTGTTGCAATATAAACAAATAACATTAGAGTTAAGTAACACTAAAGTCATTCAGTAAACGATACTATTTATTCAAAACAAGCAAATTATAAATATGTCTAATCGTTACATGAACTATTATCCCATTATTTGCATTATTAAGTATTATAAAGTTCCCACTTAAATTGACCTTCCTAAAACCTTGCCCATTACCATCAATCTTAATACTAGTATAAGATTCGCGAAGGAACTTTTCCTGAATGGGACTCTTAGCGCGTTCAAAAACAATTATTTAAGACGTAAAATTTGACTCATTCAAGTATATTGATAGCCTATGGTTTGGTTAAAACATATTTATTTAAGCTTAATTGCGAAACAAGTTCCTGCAACTTATATTAATCACTTTCGAATAACTTATGATAAAGAGTAGGCAAAATAATTGCATTCGCAACCTTATAAAAAATAGAATAAATAGACATAGACGCCGAGGCAATATCAACTTCCGGTAGGGTCCCATTTCACGATATCCTTATCCCGAAATTATTTAATTAATCCAGAAATTTGATTTTAAGTTAATTGAATATATTATCCGACGGGTGGGTTCAAGTTTGATATTAAATAAAACATGAAAGCGTCATATTTCAAACTAAAAATTAGTGTATAGAAGTGTTGAGTAATAGCGTAAATGCGTATATGTATGTAAAATAAATTCTGTCACTGAGCTCGCTATGAGACTTGCATTACTATATTTTCCAAATAACAAAGCGAGTTCTATACACTATTACTGTTTTATGGCACTATCAACAAAAATATGAATTTTGTTTAGGCATGAACCTGTATTTGAATCACTCTACCCTCAATGAATGAAATTCTTAAAACTTTTACTGGTGTAATTGTATACAAGTAAATGAGAGATTTTTGTTCATCTGGTTGTCCATCTAGTCCATCTCCTGTATCTGCCAAAGTCTGATCTCTGTTTCTCAGTGTAATGTAAAACTTTTTCTGTTTAGCAGGGTCTTTTAGTCTTGCTGTATTATTTTTTTTCAATGCTTTTTTGATTTCTTTGTGTTTTTTTCCGAAGATGGATTCTTACTTTTGCTGGTAAAAGATGATGATCACTAGCAAATTTGCTCCTCTGCAAACAACCACATTCTCAACATTCTGTTAATAATGATGTGATCTATTTGGTTACTGTCTCTGCTATTTGGTGATACTCATGTCTTTTTGTTTATTGTTTCTAAGTTGGAAAAGTGAAAAAGTGTTCCGCCAATGACACAGTTGTTTAATTCACATATAACTGCTACCCTTACTCCATCTTTAGTAATGGAACCACAGCCATAATTTCCCATAGATCATTCTCTTCACTCATTTGAGCAACCAACTTGGGCATTTAAATCTCCAATAATCAAAATTATGTCATGTACTGGCACTTTATCAATGGCTGTTTGAAGATGTTGGTAAAATTGTCAAATTGTTCTTCCTCTGCGTCGTTTGTAGGAGCATACTAGTAACAGACAAAGATTGATGATTTTGCATATCTGCCATTAAATCTTGCTTATTTTAGTCTTTCATTTATTAGAAGCCATTAAATAAGACTTTTCTTTACCTTAGGTGCCATGATGGTAGCTACATCTTCTCTATGGTTGTTTTCTTCTCTTCCTGAATATACTATAGTGTTTCCGGAGTTGGTTGTTATCATCCCATTTCCATTCCATCTGCTCTCACTTAAGTATTTGGATGTTGTATTTGCCTTGCGAGTATGTAATCATTAATACAGTTAAAATGATTGCCTTGCACGTATGATTTCGTTTGTTTTCTTTTTCTTTTAATGGACTCAAAAATGTGTTACTAATTAGTAACCATATATTATGCAAATGATTGCCTTGCGGTCATGTTATCACTAGTAAAGTTACAAATGATTGCCTTGCCAGTATACTATTACAGATACAAATGATTGCTTTGTGAGTATATAATCACTAGAACAGTTACAAATGGTTGTCTTGCAAGTATATAATCACTAAATTTTCAATTTCTCGTCATTATTTCTCCAACAGTATTACACATTCAACTCAAATGTGACGTATGGATACGTCAAAGGAATGCACAGGCCAAGTTCGAATTTGGTCATGGTTCAATGATGGTTTGCAGAGTAATGCCCCTTTCACTTTGAAAATAATATACAATTTTCAGTTTCTGTCCATTATCTCCCAAACAGTGTTACACATTCAACTCAAATTTGATATATGGATATGTCAAATAAAGTCACAGGTCAATTTCGAATTTGGTCATTGTTCAATGATTTTTGGCAGAGTTATGTCCCTTTCACTTCGAAAATAATATGAAATTTTCAGTTTCCCTTCATTATCTCCTCTAGGGTATTTCACATTCAACTCAAAATTGACATATGGATACGTCAACCAAATGGGCATGTCAAGATTAAATTTTGTCATGGTTCTTGGCAGAGTTATGCCCCGTTTACTTTAAAAAAGAGGAAATTTTCATTTCCCATTCATTATCTCCCCAACAGCTGTACATATTCAAATCAAATTAAAGATATGGATATGGATATGTCATAAGAATACTTTGGTCGATTTCGAATTTGGTCATGGTTTGATGATATCTGACACAGTTATATCTCTTTAACTTTGAAACAGATCAGAATTTTTTAGTTTCCGTTCATTTTCTCTCCCAATGGTTGTACACATTCATCTCAAATTTGATATCTTAGGAATAAGCAGTTCAAGTTTAAATTTGGTCGTGGTTCAATGATTTAGGACAAAGTTATCCCTCTTGAATGTTGGAAAAATTTTGAATTTTCAGTTTCAGTACTTTTGTTGAAATGTATATAGCCATTACTTTGGCTACAAATATGCAATATGCAATTTACAACACTGAATAGTTTCAGTGCATTGAGCTCTGTATAAAAATGGCTTATGTAAAACTGGAATAG